AGTCCTGCGTTACGGAACTTACGGCTCTCATACCTCGTGTTTGGCAATGGGCCGCAGGGAGAGGAGGAAGGTAAAAAATTGGTGATGAAATTGGTGGATCACTGTGCCGAGCGAAGTCAGAGAGGGTGTCGTTTGGAGCATCTCGTCATCGAGGCCCCCTTGAATCCACCTCTAAATCTTGCTTCGTTATTGGCCCCGTACGTGGACCACGTCGAAATCGGGGAAGACATTTTGAATGACGTCAACGATGATGTCTGGACTCTCGAGTTTGGATCTAGACGGATGTTTAACTTCCTTCAAGCGTGTACGTAGATATGACGAGTCTTGATATTTCGAACGATAATATGGGTACACCGTCGAATGGAATTAGTGGAATTCGGAATGAACCTAGAATAGGGTCAGGGAGAAGTGGTTTATAGGTCGCTGAAAAGCACGCTAGATATCCACGGCCATAGGACCTTGAAAGCACCGCATCCCGTCCGATCTGCGAAGTTAACCAGGGTGCCGCCTAGTTAGTACCACGGTGGGGGACCACGCGGGAATCCTGGGTGCTGTGGTTTTTTCTTTTCTTTTTTTTCTATCTCACTTCGATTCTATGTTCTGTATGTTCTTTCCTTATCTACTGCTGTAGTCACACCGAAAACCAAGGTAAACCGGTACGTGCATCGGCCCTTGCGTCAAGTTTTTTTTCTCGGGAGTTCCCGAACATCCCGTGTAATCTTATCGGAACGAACTAGGTCCACGCACGAAGGACCAATATTTTCCTCTCGCCGCCACACTGAACACTGATTTTTTAAAATAAAATAAAAACACGCGTAGAGAGAACACCAATCCGCGTGGTGAGCGGGAGGAAGAAACGTACACGTGTCTTAGCGGGCCTTGAGGCGGGCAGGACAGCCTTCAGCCATGTCGATCTTTGGTGCCGTGAAAACGGGGGTAGATACGCCCACAAAGCGGTTTCTTTCAACCTAACGGCCGTTACAAATACTAAAATAGCGTACATGGACGCCGTGGGTACCCCTCCCTCGTTTCTCCCGCTTCTTGATTTAATGATAACGACGAAGGGTGGGAAATATAAAGAAAAGGTCGAGGTAAAGGGCCTGGAGGGAAAAAAAGAGGGGAAACGCGTCATGATAATCAATTTTCCAAACGCGTGAAAGGCATCGGACGTTGAAAACAAACCGCACTGTGAAAGAGATGAAATTCCGTAGTTAGGCGACGGGGTCCCGACTCGTAGGGTGGCCACCATGGTCCCAGTGGAAATTCACGGCTCAATCGCGAAAAGACAACCCCCCCTCCCTTCTCGACCGCCACACTTTCCCAGCCAAGTCCGTGCACAGAGGAGTGAGAGGGACGTCCTCAGCGTACCCCCCTATCGTTTTTGACTATTTTCCGGTGGTCATGAACGAGTAAGCGGGTACTTGGAAGGAGGTGGACGCTCTGGATTTGCAATCGGGAGGCCTTTCGGGGCGTCAAGTCGCTGGAGGGGAAGTTGACCGATTTGACAGGCACGGTCAATTCACTCCCCGAACTTTGAAAGGGGAAAGGCAATGATAGGATTGGGTCTGTAGCCATGGAGGTTAATAGAAACAGTAGCTCGGTAGCGCATCCTATAGTTTGGTACCCCTTCTCTCCATTCCCGGTGGCGTACGTAATCTTTTGGTCACCCTTTGTGCAACCAATAGGCCGTGTTTCGAAGTTAAAGACACCAAAGGAAACACGAGGCCGGAGTGCCCAATAAACGAGTGTACGAAGGTGGTAGCCATCAGTGGCTCTCGAACGAGTGAAAGAAGGGTGGCCAGCACAGCCCACCTCATGTCTAAGATATATAAATGTCAGAGATTTCGTTGAGGAGACCATCCGCTCACTGCACTTCGCATTCCTCTGTGCTCATCACCTCTACTCTAACGCTCTCGACCCTCGACCCACCTCTACGATACCAAAGATGTCTTTCTTCAACAACAACTTTGTTGGCGCGAACTACGGCTACCCTTCCTCTGAGGGTAATGTCTTCGACGGGTACCCTTCCGGTAACGACCGGTTCCCGGACTTCGCTGCCAACGACAACCTCTTCGACTTGGACGGCCCAGAAGCCGGTCCAAGCAGGTCGCAAGATTGGTACCTGAACCCCTCAAACGAGGGGTACCGGGGATCCACCCTCCTGGACGTGTCGGGTAACCAGTTCATGAACCCGTACACCCTGCACGCGGACACTCACGACTTTGCTACCGGTGAGTTGCTTTGTTATTGATCACGATCGCTTGAACCAACGCTGACGACCGTCCTAGGTATGAATGTTAACGGTTTGAGCACATACGAACGGACCGTTAACATACCTGCTGGAAGTGCAGGTATGTCGGTGGCCCACCTGGCCACCGCCCCCTTCCAAACCCCGGCCACATTCGCTGGCCCCATTACCCCACCTCTGGTACTTCCCCAACAAAACACCCGTAAGTACTCGCGTCACCTCCGATAAAGTCTCAATCGCTTACCTGTTTGATTAGGCTTCCTGCCCCCGACCCCCTCGTACGCTGCCGGAACCCTCCAATACGGCGCGTACGAGCAGCCACTGGCCGGTCCATCCTCGACCGGTCAGTGGTCCCACATCCACCCCGCCACTTCCGCGGACAAGGGCAAAGCCCGAGCCACGGACTACACTCCCCCTACCCACCCGACACCCTTCGAAGACGATGGTGAGTAAACCTTCTTGTTTCTAGGCTTAGGCAAAACGCTTACTGATCGCGATAGCGTGGCGTTACCAACAACCACGCACCACAGAAAACCACGGGACGCCAATCCCCCAAACGGTAAGTCACTTCGCCCGTCTCGTCTGGATCATCTCGCTGATCGTGATCCTTCTAGGTTCCCGGTGTACCACCAAACACCGACTTCCCCTCCCCGATCGCCCCCTCTTACGGACCACAGCGGTCCGAAGGGGGAGCAAAGGGAAAGGCGAAGGCGACGCGGAGGGGCAGAGGCAAACGGAAACGAGATCCCTCCGAGCCTCTGTCCGAGAGCGTCGACTCGAGCTGGGAACAGACGAAGGACCGCTTCGTCTGGGAACTGCTCGAGGTGTATCACTTCAGACCCGCCGGGAGGTCTATAAATCCCGAGACGGCTTTCGCCTCACTAGAAAGATTCATTAAAGAAGATCTCCACCGATCGGTAAGCGACCCTTTTTACCGCGATTGCGACCATCGTTTAATGAACCTTCTAATGCGGCAATAGCCACTCGCAGCTAAGGCTGCAACAGCCAAAGCGGACAAGAAGGAATCAAGGGTCTACGAACAATACCTGACCCATATCCTGAAGGAGCTCCGCAGATCGGAGGAAGGAGAGGCAGAGACCGAGACGCTCGTGTACACCCGAGGTAAATGATCACTCACCGCCCCTCGCATACACATTTGATGCTAATAAGGCTTGACTCTTCACAGTTCTACAGGAACTCGGGCGCGAGCTGGCGCCGATCAACGGCCGGCGCATACTGAGAGAAGGTCACTCTTCGAACAGGAAAGATTCGAACGAGTCGGACGACTCGAGGGCGAAAGTGAAGCACAGGCAGGTAGAGCAAGAACGAAGAGCGGCCATCAGAAGCCTCCAAGACCAGATCAGCGCTTTCTTCCTGGTCCCGGGGCAGAAGAAGGTCACAACGGGGGAACTACTTCTCTTCGGTAAGTCGACTAACCCAATATGCAAACCAATGGTTTACTTACCAAATCGTCTTAGTTGTCGTCTACCTAAGAATAGGTAGACTTGCCTTCCCAGGGCTCATTCGCCCTCGCCCTTCTTAAAATAGACAGTAGAATTAGATAGCTGTTTGTACAATATTTATTAGAATGTGCACTTCTGTACTATTACTTTGTAAATTTGGGATACCTTTTTGATTGGAGCGGAGATTCCTCTAACTCGCTTGCGGAATAGACGTCTCGCTTGAGCGCGGGTGAGCCTTCGTTAGTCTTGGAAATTGATAGTCGACTCGTGGGCCACCTCGAACACATCGGCGTGATCGTTTGACTTGAGTGACGGGGTTTGAACGGTACATTGAGGACACAATCAACTTAGGTGACGTCAACACGAACAGAGTGATAAGTTACCGCTGGTATTGGCCCGGCAACATGAGAAACCAGATAAGACGAATAGGCAAGGAGAAGAAGACGGTGAGGGCGGATGGTCGTTTTCCAGTAACGAGACTAGAAGTTTTTATACTCGGACACCTCGTGCTGTGAACCTGATGTTAACCAGCGCGCAATTAATTTGATTTCCTTGGAGACTAGAAAACACCCTCGTTTCGCGAAAGCGGACGAACCAGATGGGCCGATTGATTTTGCATCACATTCTCCATTGTCCGCTACAACGGACATAGGGCATCCTCGAGTCATGGCGTTAATCTCACCATCGATAGAAGCACCGATATGAAAGAACACCATAGCCTCGCTTGATACACGCATCCTGACCAACCGCCACATCAAAATCAAGCGTCAACTGTGCCTTTGTATAGCAACAGTAAGGCCATGGAGACGTCTCGATTGCCATTCCAAGAACAAGGGAGGCTCGAGAATGTGGACGCGTTGAAGGTCAGGTGGGTAAAGCGACGACCAAGGCGATCTGGGTGAGGCAAAGAGGAGAAGGGTGAAGTTTATTGACGTGGGAAGGCAAGTTTTTAAGATCACTGATCCACGGTCGGAAAGAATTCATACCGTTCGGCTTTCCCCATACCGTACCCTCATCGATAACACAACCAACCCTCTGCGGTCTTTCTACAACCCGAACAATGTTCATCGATATGCAAGTCGAGGCTGAACCAAGGTTAGAATCCATCAGATGCTAGGTCATGTAGAAGCTTTCGTCTGATCCACGGTTAGAAATGTGCTAAGGGAGTTCTGTACACTACATGGGTCGGTACAACCCCTGCGTTGTATCGCTTGTTGCTGAGACCAGACGCTCGTTGTGGACGGTCTAAGACGTTTGTAACGCACGCTGTTGGTAGAATTCAAAAAGAATGAGCGTGACAGTACTCGAAACTGCAACCTTCTGATAGCGAATGACAATCGAAGTCAGACGCGCTACCATTGCGCCACACACCCATCGGGAACTTTCGTTCAGTCCAGTTTCCTATCGAAGAGATTATCCCAGAACCGAGCACGCTGGCGAAAGGAATGCATTCGAGAACGTGTGCCTAACAAAGGCCAAATCCCTATCAGTCCGATATGGTGTAACGGCTAACATTGCCGCCTTTCACGCGGCAGCTCGGGGTTCGATTCCCCGTATCGGAGTCGTTTTTTTCTCGTTCATCCCTCCCAATATCCAGCAATTGGACGGCTAGGGACGTATATATACACAAGGGTCAGTTAGCTACTATGTAGATGTATGACAGTTTTTATACAATGATCTACAAAAGGCAGCCCATATGGATCACACCATAAAAACCCTCGCTCGACTGGGTGGTCCCGCAACAAAACTCCCATCCCTCCGCACCTATGGATCCTCCTCACCACTCCGCGTACCATACACCCCCAAGCGAATCGTTTCGGCCCGGTTCGTTTGTTGCCCAGGCGAAGTCGCGAACGCGAGATCGGTTGACATCTCTGTCGAAGTACTTCTTGGGGACGAAGCTCGTCTGATGTTCAGTAGAATTCGACAACAAACGATACTGTGGACGACTCGGGTGGAGGCGGCCATGAGCCCGTTGTACTGAGGCTACACGGAAGGGGGGTGATTACTAGGTTTACGGTTCGGGAATCAAAAGGTTGCGGGGGGTCCTGCTTACTGGTGCCAGCGCGAGCACAAGGATCGTGGAAAGAGTCAAAGCTGGATTTCACCGTTTAGCGCTTCAATAATGGATCGGGGGATTCTTCTCACAGAATAACACAAGAAAGAAAGCGACACCTGAGAGACGTATTCGTCGGTGCGTTATTGGTAAGAGAGCGTTGGTGAGCGACTCACTATCTCGGTATACAACCCTCAGCAGTGGGGTGCCCGAGTGAACTAAAGCACGGAAGTTAAGTATCACGTCCGAGTGGGAGGTGGAGGCGACGTACAATCTCTGAACCCTCTTACGACAGTCAAAGTAACAACAGCTGTCATCAGGTTCGGTGAGTACGCGTGGGCATGTAAGGGTGAATTTATTCTAACCAAGCTCAACGACGAGGAGCATCAAAAAATCGAAAAAGATTATTCCATCTCTCCGCACGAGATAACATCCTTTGATTAAGGCGTTGGGTGGCGGGCCAACTGATTGAATCCCGTAGGTAAGGTGCGAGTCAACCATTCGAGCCTGCAAACGACTCACAGAGCGTTGCGCGGAGATAACGCCACGTAAATATGATCCCGGCCACTGTCGCTACCTGCACAGACGATGGGCCTCAAACATATCTCACAAGTTTGTCCCGGGGACGTACCGCGTAAGCAGTCGATAAAGGGATTAAAACCCGCTTTGATCTTGAATATATCGCATTGGTTCTCAGCAGGAGGATGGCTGGAAACGATCAAAGATGAGCGCTGAGGGACGGCAAGTGTTACTTTCATGCCTGACATTCTGAGATAGATATCCCGAGGAAGGTGTTCCCTGCAACGAACCGATAACAGTCGAATACGGAAGAGTTCCGGAAGGTAGCGTTTTCTCTTACAGGTGGCAATTTTGTAGATGATATTGCACGTCTGGGGTGTTTCAGTTCGTCAGCACGCGGTAGCCAGGTGCAGCCAGTGTACCTACATCATAACCTATCGCGCCATACGGAGCGGTGTGTGCTACAAAACGGAAGGATACCAGTCAGTATTTCATCCATTCCGATGATGCACAAGGGTAGAGTCAAGACTCACTGGTGATCGTGATAGGCATATCGAGGAATGGTCCGTACCGCGAAATAATAAAGAGAACCTTGGAAATATTCCACTCGCTTTGCCAGACATGCTCGACTTCGCGATCGAGGAGGATGAGCCAGTCGTGTACCTAGTAGTGATCGGCGACCACCGGAACGATCATGGTTAAGAAACCGCTTCCGACGGCGCCACAACTTGCAACGGAACGGAGGGACCTACCATGAGCGCCAACATGGATACTTGAGGAATGAATGTTGTCGGTGAAAAGTTGAGAACTTTGAACTCCGAGTCACAGGTTGGAAGCTTACGGTGAAGGTACTGTGGATTTGAGCAAGGTTTCATTCAGGTGAGCGTCGCCGGATGACACTTTCGGACTTCTGGGCGGTGAAAGCGTAGTGGGAACACTCACGGTAACGTTCTGCAACCGCAACATAGTTGCGACAATGTTGGGATCCATTAGGGCACTCTCCACCCTACTAACCAAACCCGTGCCGGTCACAGGAAACGGAAGGGATGGAGAAGAGGTGAGGGGAGGAGTAAACCTTACCCCGTCTACACAAACGCGAAGATTGATGTACCACAGATGTGTTGGCTGACAAATAACGCAGTCTTGACCGTGCAGTGCTAGGAAAGTCGGGATACCATCGAAGTTATTCGGCACGACGGGCCTGGTGAAAGAGAACCTTCCGCTTTCAATCCATCACTTGGAAAACGGAAATGAGAAAGAAGACAAAGCATGCGTTGTGTGGTTTCATCAAGAACTGCCAAAGACGGAAGTCCGGTTCGGGACTGAGTTCCATCAAGTCATCTTGTCAGGTTCTTCTCTCGCCAACGGAAGCGCATTTCCAGAACTTTGTCCCAAGGAAATCGACGGGTAGTTATGCACGTCACAACGCTGTCACCTAAGGCTCCGACTTGGAGGGAGAGAAAGTTGGGAACGAGGGCGTGGCGGCCGAAAGTTGGCGCAACTGCGGTCAGACCAATACATACAATAGAGAAAAAAATCCGCAAGTTGTGGCTGCGGATTTGAGAGTGATTTAAGATGGAGGTCCAGAGTCTACGGAAGTTTTGATGAACTCCAGTGTGATCGGTTCTGCGACAGTCACCAAATGATCGTGATCATCCAACCTGTGGCTGAGAATAGTTTGGGCATTCGCGGGGGTAAAAAAAAGTCGATACCCATACTCCACAGGTCGTATACGGAAGACGCATAAATTACCGGGGTACATCAACGAAGATGGTAAAAATAGGTCAAGCATTGTAAGGCTCGGATGCAAAATAATTTAACTGAAATCCACCCGTGTGGGAATCGCAAGGTTTGCCCGTCGAAGGGGCTTAAACCGTTTTGGGTTCATGATGGCCGACTAGAGCTTACCCTTGAACATCTTCCGCACGCTCTCTGGGTTCAGAACCGCCTCAGGGTAGGGGAAGCTCGAAGATGAGAGGTGTTGAAGGCCTCCGTCGACGACGAGAGCTTCACCAGTGATCAAACTAGCAGCGTCGCTGAAGAGGAAAACGGTGGCATTGGCAATGTCCTGGACGGCACCTTGACGTCCAAGGGGAATGAGGGACTCGAGGGAACGCCCAGTGCCGGAAACACTGAGACGACTCATACCCTCGGTAGCGGCAATAGGTCCAGGAGCGATGACGTTCGATCTGACGCCCCAAGGACCCTCTTCGACGGCAATCACACGCGAGAGAGCATCGACACCAGCCTTGGCAGAGGATACATGTGCTTGGTATGGAAGGCCTTTCAAATTGTCGTCAAATACCCCAACGCCGATGCAAGGAACGTTATCAAATTCACCTCTGTAATGAAGGGTAGCGCTGACATGGATATACGAGCCATGGGATTGACGGACGTAAGGGATTGTGGCTTTGAAGGTATTGAAAGTTCCAAGCTAGTCACAAGATATGAGCAAGTTCCAGACGGGTGAGAGAGAATCTCCGTACGGTATCAATCTCAATGACGGTCCTGAAGGCATTCTCCGATAGTCCAGACAGGGGAGCGAGGAAGTTACCCGCGGCACCTACCGACGAAAGCGAACGAACCGGCCAAAGTTAGATTGCCGCTTGTCCATAACGAGGCACAGGACAACTCGAACTCACCGCAAATGACAAAATCAATCCTTCCGAACTTCTCAATAGTCTTCTTCACCGCTTCCTTGAGTTCGTCCGGTCTTCGGACGTCCGCCTGGGCAGGAATACACGTATTACCTGTTCCCTTAGATAATTCCTCGGCAGCTTGAGTGATTCGGTCTAACCTGCACACAGTTACTCGACTGGGTCGCACGTCAGGCAGAGAACGTAAAAAGTACCGACTTTCTTCCAACGATGGTTGCATTGGCTCCGTGTTTCATCTACGGTACGGGAAGCCGGTTTGAGCACCAAATCCAAGGAAGGTGGGGCGCGAGGGTGAAGACAAGGGTCAAGGTAAGAGCTCACCACAGCGTAAGTCATCTCCTTGCAAATCCCAGACCCACCACCGGTACAAAACAATACCTTTCCCTTGAAGATGTCCGGCTTGAACACCGACTCAGAATTGGTATATCGAGCGCGAACTGGAGCTGGAGCCATAGGGTGAGGTGAACTTGAAATCGTTCGCGTTTAGTAAAATGGACTTTGGTTCCGTCGGGGAGGTGGTGGTGGTATAAAGGCAAGAATGAGAAGCGCGAGACAATCGGACAGGGAAGCGGAGGATAGGTCGTCCGGGCGACATGACCCCATCGCCGCCCGTTTCGCTTTACGTGGGTTGCCTACAATCAATCGATCAAAATGCTAGAATCAGATGTGTCAGGGTGGACGTCGATGCGCCCGGCCCACAGGTCCCGCTGGCGAGCCGAGATATCAAATGTCACTGGTATCGTGTTTGGATAGATATTTTGACAGGACATCCAGGTAGAGATTTCCGTAGCTCAAAATAATACAGGGTAGAGCCGTGAGTTCCGGATGTTCTCAATTAAACGTCTACCGGCCCTGGATCTTGTGCTCTTCACCCCATTTCAGAAGACGATCCATCAGGTCTGCCCATTCCTCCTCACTCTCAACCCCATCCAACCATCGCTTTACCTCCTCCTCACCCCGATTCTCAATCTCTTTCCAAACCATTCGCAACTCCAACACCTTTTCCCTTGCTCGGATCCTCCAAGGTTCAACGAAGACGTACCCTCCGTCATGTGAAGGTACAAGACCTTGGGATTGGAGATGCGCGATCAAAGAGTCCTGGTATTCGACGTCAGTGTACGATCCAATGTTCATCTTGTGA